CGCCACCTCAGCTCTTAAACATGTACTAATCACAAAAAAAAAAATTGTTTATTATTTATGTTCCATAGCTCTAAACCAGCCATCTCCTTCAAAAGGGTCTCTGGGTGGTATACAATATAATATAGACAATAAATAAAATGACATAAAAATAGGATTAAAACCTTTAGAATTATAGAATAATGACAATTCAACATCAAAAACGGGGGAACCTAAGCTAGCCATTTAATAATGACTATTACATGCAGAGGGGGCCAGTTCTCATGGGACTAGCCAGCCCCACAACTGAGTAGTCTTCCATGCCCTCCCCCACAAAGCTGCATACCCAGATTTTGACCCCTTTGCAAAAAACTAAGAGATTGGGGCTTTCCTTCCTTGTAGACCATTTCCTTCCACAAAGCAGGCCAGAAAAGGGTCTCTTCCTAGACCATGCCAATCAAAATTGTTTGACTGATGGGTTCTGCATCATACCTTCCCTGCCTGATTGAATGACAACAGGCTGATGAGATAAGGCAAGGCCAATTCTGTAGGTAACTTGTTTCTATGTCATATAGTGCTTTATAGGTGATGCCAACATCTTGAAGTAGGCCCAGAAGCAAATTGGTACCCAGTGCAGTTCATGGAGCAAGAGTGTTATATATTATCTTCTTTGCCCCTCACTATAGACCACATTCTGCACCATCTGAAGCTTCCAGATACTTTGGGAGAGTATCTAAAGAGTATCTAAATTTCTAAAGTGGAAGCTTAATATAAAACATCAGACAAATTATGCTAAAGACACATTTTTAATTTACTTTTTGCGAATAGCAAATCATGTTTAACCAAGAAAAAAAATAAATTGAAGAATACATGGACGTGCACGTTTTACAGCCAGAACTAAGTGTTCATAGGAACAATACATTACAAGTCACCTTCATATATTTCCTGATATAAAGAGGAATCATGTAATGATTCGAGAGAATTTCTACGCCCCTGGAAGTGATTGGTATCTGCTGTTTTAGCTGAAATGGTTATGTGTTGAGAGTGGATATCTGGAGAAGAATACCTAATATATGAAAGTTCTTTCCTTTGAACTAAATCTACACCATGCATGGAAGTAAGATACATTTAACTCTGCTAATAACACTTTCGTTTTATAATATTTTATCATATGAGTAACCAATGAAGTCTATTGGACGTTTTCCAGTTGTAATTGTCCTCCCACCAAAAAACACTGCAACATTGATTTAGGAGAATGCAGCAGCTAGAGAATAAGTTTTTTTTTAAAGCCCTATGTTGAATTACAGTATCATATTCTATATATAAAATCATCTTCTGAAATTTCCTTATTTGGTACAAATGCTAGCATAATCACATTGATTTGTCTATAGAGAATAGATATATCAGCCCACAAGAGGACCATATTTAACTTTATACCACTGTAGTTTTCCAGCCAAATAGCTTGTCTGGCAATGAAAACTGCAGAGAGAAAAGCCAAAACAAGAAGTTGGATATTATATGTTAAGGTCCTGCCCATTAGGCTGTTGAATCAAAATGTCAAAATAAGACTGATATGATTGCCTCCTTTCTGTTCAATTGAACTTCTCTTCTCAATACATTTAAGCTGCAGCTTTTGGTCAGAATGGATGACAAAAACTGAATTATTAGTTTGGCCTTCCTGTTTTGACTTTGTTAGAGAATGGTGTCCTCTGAAATTGTATTCTCTCTCTCTCTCTAGCTATAGATCTCATAAATAATTTGTTGCAAGTTAAAATGAGAAAACGTTACAGTGTGGACAAGACATTAAGCCACCCCTGGCTGCAGGTAATGCTACAAATGTCATGCCTTTTACCTCTTTTTTATTGTAGTTAGGATAACAGTTTACCACAATTGCTACAGATTTGAGCACAATTACCTGGACATGTGAAAAACAAGTCACTGGTTTAAATGCTAATACCCTCATGTACAGGCTGGTTCAGTATATATAGCTTTCCAGAGTCCAAGTTTAATTCTAATTGAATTGTCTACAGTGTTGCTTGGGTGACAAGAAGTTACGATGCACCCCATACTTTACATGCAGAATATCCTGGGTTCAGACAGGGGTGGGCTTCAAAAATTTCAGCCATGGGTTCTCTGCCTGGTTGCTGGGTGGGTGTGACCATGGTGGGTGTGGCCTAGTCAGCCTGCTGCACCAAAGTGGAGGGGGGGCTTTTTCACCTTCCCTGGGCTCTGGAAGCTTTCCTCGAGCTTCTAGGAGGGCAAAAACTGCCTCCCCCGGGCTCTGGAGGCCTTCCGAGAGGCCCGTTTCCCCCCTCCTTGAGGCTCCATGAGGGCCCTGAAGGTCCAGGCAGGGATGGGATTTGGAGTTTCTCCAAACTGGCCATAAGGTTAGGTATGGGTTCTCCCGAACCTGGGTGAACCCATAGCAGCCCACCCCTGGGTTCAGAACTGCCAGAATCCTGGAACACTCTTGCCATTTAGTTACACCGTCTTTCCCCAAATTGGCATCTCTTATATTTGGATTTCAAATCCCATATCCAAGACCTAGGAATCCTGGAACATAGATTAAACTGAAATAGTTGAACTAATGGTCCATCTGCATATTGAGATGAATCTATATATGAACATTTAAAAAGTAAGGTTTTTTTTCATACCCTTTATTGCTAGAATATGAAGTGTTTACGATATTGTTTATATGCTCAGTGGGTTTTTTGAATATTAATTAAAATTACTATTTCGTTTTACAGGATTACCAAGCCTGGCTAGATTTGCGGGAACTTGAATGCAAAATAGGCAAGCGTTATATCACCCATGAAAGTGACGATTCCCGGTGGGAACAATTTGCAGGAGACAATAGTTTGCAGTATCCAGTACACCTTATGAGTCGAAGCCCTAACCACAATGAAAATCCTGAACCAGAAGAAGCAGAGTTGAAAGCCCTCAGTGAGCGTGTCAGCATCCTTTGAATCACAATCTGTCAAAACACTGTGGAATTTCCCCCTCAAAACAGGCTTATGTTTTTTTGCTTCTCTGTATACTTCAGAACTACTTCCGATAATATTTGAAATTCTTTTTATTGTTGCTTGATGATGCAGGATGTGATTGCTGCCCTTTCAGAGAATCTATAGACCACTGAAACAATAGTTGTATAACAAGAAAGGACACTCATACATATCCCTTGGCCATCTTGTAATTAAAATAAGGACCTGAGTCTGTCAACCCTTTCATCAGATTTTTTTTACATCAGATTAAAGGAAAGAAATGTGAGAAATTGTTGGCACAGCACTAGATTATTTATTCTCTTCAAAATAATCACAAAGCAATGTTGTGGTTCTGAAGATAATTAGAATAGGTATATTATTCTAACCTAATCAATTTTGGAATGACCTACAATGCTTTTTTTCATAAAACCAGCTTTAGCAATCAGCTAATTGTCTTTTCAATGAAGGTATTGACAAACCATGGTTGAGATTCAGTGACCAATAATAGGGTTGTGTCTTTGGTATAAATGAATTTGCCAAGATCAATGACAGTCACTTTTAGTAAGAATTTGTAGTTATTTCCAGGGGAATGAGAGTAGGAGGTAGAATACATCTACTGTATGTTTAATTCATTTTACTTTCAGGTTGTAGAACTTGCATACCAGGATAAAAGGCTCAGTAGCAGATGTCATTGACAGAAGAAAACGCTGATTGAGATGTAATGCTTATATCCAGAAGAAGTGACCTTACAGTCCCAGAACAAAATCCATTTTTAAGCTATGCAAAGGTGCTCTCAGCATACCAACCCAAGCAATTTACTATTCCATTAGTAATACTTCAAAGCTAACTTTTTATAATACATCTCCACCTCCTTTGAATAATAGTTGCTAGACCTTATTTAATGGTAAATCTGTTACTTGTTTTTAAAATGTATTTATAAATACTGCCCATCTGTGCCCGCAAACCACCCAGCAAAACAAAAGGACAAAAAGATTCTTCTTTGCAACAAGCAGAAGATCAGCAAACTGCAGCTATTAATGGACCTTGCAAAGTTGGCAGAGAAGGAAGCAACAAGAATTGTCTAAGGAAGGAGTGTTAGGAGCAAGTTGGTACAGAAATGACCCCCTTTTGTATATTTACAACTCTTGCCTCTAATTCAATTTGTGCCTTAAAATCTGTGCTGACTCCTGGTGACCATCTGGGCTAGTCTTTAGTTTTCTTGGCAGGTTTTTGGAAGTGGTTTGCCCTTACCTTGTCCCTAGGCTGAGACAAATTGACTGGTCCAAAGTCACTTGAAAAACTTTGTGCCTAAGGTGAGCCTAAAACTCACTGTCGCCCAATTTATAGGCTGGTGTTACTGCCCCAGATTGGCTCAAAGAATTAATAGAGTTAATTCCAAAGCAGTTCACAGAAGAAGGCAATGTATAATCTCATCACAGCTTCTTTATGTATTAAAGGAAACACTTCATATTATGCTTGTAAACAATCTGGAAATGTGATATTGATTCAGGAGCAGTGCTCTATATTCATTCTAAAGGGCACAAGGAATGCATTGCAGTATTTTAAGGAGTTATATTTAAGGCATAAATAGCCAGTTTGGTGTAGTGGTAAAGCCACCAGAAAGAAACAAATCAGAAGGGCATGGCTTCTTGTCCTTCCTTAGGCACAAAACCAGCTGTGCAACTTTCTGACAGCTGTTACATCTTAGCCCTAGGAAGAGGCAAAGGCAAATTACTTCCAAAAATATTCTTGACAAAAATATTGTCAAGAAGACTGCAAGAACTAACGGGGTGTTCATGAATAGTAAAAAACTGACTTGAACAAACCAAAATAACAGTAAATAAGTCATGAACAATTATCAACAGATAAGATCTTCCCAAAGAAACTCAGTGGCGTGCAAAAGTTTAGTGCCCCCAAATGTATCCTGAATTATCTACATTTTCACATGCTAAGAAAGCTGCTTAGAAAAACCTAGGGTGGTTGAACATAGACAAATTCTGTGAATTTGGATCTTCAGAAAGAGAACAATACCATTCAAAAGACAAACTACAGTGTTTTAATTCCAAAATGAGAAAGGTCCGATAGAAGTGGATTCTATCTTCTAAATATTTTCTTCGTTATTCTAAATAATGAAGAAAAGGTATTTGGTGAAAGACAATAAGTTTTTATTTTGCCAAGTTTTGTTCCTAACACTGAAAGTAACTTTAAGGGCTCAGCCTTGGAAAATATTAAGCACAGGCAATTTACAATGATTTTTTTTTGTGGTAGTATTTTGGAATTTTCTATAACTATTTTAAAAATGTATAAAATTATACTATGAAATAGCATTCAATAGTTTATGATTATAGGATGATATTATTTGTAACCCATGATGCTTACATATCTGCAGACCTTTGTGTCCTCAGAACATCAGACCAAAGAAGTAAACACACAATATATTCATACCTTGAGCAAGGAATATAATGTAAATGTAAAATATCTTTTCTTCTGAGCAGTTGTATTTCCATTCATATTTCTTGGTTGTCATACAAACAATGTAATAAAATTAAGATTCTTGTGGCACCATCCCAGGGGCTACAAGACTGAAGCTCCACTCTCACCTCATAAAACTATCAAAGTCAAAAACGAAGAAAATAGCACCACACAATCAAGCACCAATTTAATGAAATTATTAAAAAGTATTCTGAAACAGAATCATAGGCAACTTGAAAAAGAAAATGCCTACTCATTGAATTAAATTTTTAGAACACTACAACTCCATCTACCACTACTGTCATTGTCATAGCTCTCTGCCACTAACAGCAAGTTGACAGGCCCTAGTCCAATGATGGCTTCCTACCGGTTCAGACTGGTTCAACTGAACTGGTAGTGGTTTGGCGGCCTGGATCGCTGGAACCGGTAGTGACCCAGGCCTGCTATGCCCCCAAACTGGTTCTACCAGCAACACTGTAGGCACTGGCATCTTTGTTTTTATAGTATTGCGCATGCGCACGCAGCACACATCAAGCACATTGCACTCTGCCGACCACAAGTGAACCAGCAGTAGTAGGTGCCAGAACCTACCCCTTCCCTAGTCCCTGCGATGAAGATACTGCAATAAAGTGTCAGATGTAAAGCCACTTTCTTGGACTGATCTACTTTCTAGTACTGAGACATCCATACCCCAAATTTCCAATGAGAAGAAGACATTGTGGAGATTGCTGTGCCAGTATACCATGTATATCAGTAGTGCAACAGTTCCCATGGACTGCCTTGCCTGGGTGTGAAAGCACATCCTCTTATAATCCCAAGAAAGAGCCACTTAAGTTCAATAAGCTGGTATCCCACCCATAGTTGCAGTCCAAGCCAGGTCCATGACCGAGACACTTTCTACCATTCTAAGCCATCCCCTCCAAAGCAACATTGCAAGCTGCAGAAAACACATGTGATCTGCAGGCTTACATATAAGATGCCTGCTGAAAGAAAGAAATTGGAGTAGAACTGAGTTCATAGGTTGCTTTCATTGGTGAAATTTCTTTCTGTGAGTCCCCGAATTGTGAAATTCTGGAGTATCTTCTGAGGTAACCAATGATGATAAGGTAAGACTGACTTGACATAATTCCTCCTCTTTGCCAGTAAGAATCACCATTGGCTTAGAATCTCTTCTGTGAATGAAAAGGGTTCTTTTGTACATTACAAACCATTTCAGGATACAAGCTGCTAAGTTTACCTGCTGACACTGTTGTGAAACTGTAAAGGAAAATGCACAGCATGCTTCCTTGAGCTCAGAAGATACATGTTTCTATCATAGCTGGGAAGAAATATAGTAGGCAACTTGGTGTCCTGTAGATGTTTTGGACTTCTAATTTCCTTCATCCCCAGGCATTACTTCCAATGTTGAAACAGCATCAGCTGCCTTTTCTCGCACTCAGATAGAAAAACCATTATCTAGAACTCCTATGATAAAAGTAAGTTCTAGGGTGGTTTAAGCCTCGCTTCTATTTTATTTTCATCAAAGAATTTTAAGCTACTTTATTTCTTCTCAGAGAAAGATACCTTTTGAACTGGGCAGTCCAGTCAAAAAACAATTCATGTTCAATATCCTTGCAAATATTTTCAAAACAAATCAGCTATGCTTTGTTGTGTCTAAATGATGTGGAATATAAAGAAAACATAAAGCCAACTGAAAAACCAACAACTTCCTCGGATGTGTCACAAACTGTCTCATTATCTTCTATTGTATTGTTTTCATTTAAAATTCTTTTAATCACAGAAAGCCAACTGAATCATTGCTCTGCACAAACACACATACACACAAACAATAATGGTCTAGGAGAGAACTTGCTTTTGAACATGTGTCAAAATTGGATATACAGGCAAGAAAACAGCACAAATGTGGCTTTTGTATAGCTGAATTTTTCGCAATTATTATAATTAAGTTAAATTTGCACTGACAATAGCAGGATACATGAAATCTGCAAAGTATTTAACTTTCATTGTATTTTAAAACTTACCAATCCTGTTTGTTGTTGGAAGTTATACCTAGAGATTAAAACTGATAGAAAAGAGGGTCCAAATTAGTATAATCTTTCAAAAGGCTGCATTTTGAATGAGATGTTTGCTTTCCAACTCAGAAGTCAGATCATATTTCATGGCCAAAGCTTGCTTTGAATTACACCCTTGAAAGTGCAACAGAAGGAGTTGGCAAGGATAGAGGAAATGAGGTGACTATTGTGCCGAAATGAATATGTTGTTATTTGTGTGTTTGAGTTATGTACCCTGGCTTTTTTTAGAAATAGAAAAGGGTGTGTTAAAAACAAATATATACATGGAATGTCTATATGAAACTGAAGTCCTGTGGCCACAGTATGGCTCGTTAATCCAGTTTCAATCTAAATATGCACTTGTTCTTTTTTTAAAAAAAAAACCTTTGGGTCTAAGTGTTGCAGGCTGCAGATCATCTTACAGTATGTTATTTGCTACACTTGAGATTTCCCATCATGGAATTCCATGCTTTCCCATTGCTTTAATCACTGCCTTCTTGTTTCACTCTTTCTTCAGGCACCAGCTGTCCAGTCTGCCCCATATGCAAAATGAGTTGAATGCAAACTATATTAACCCCAGAAAAGCCATTGCCGAAGTTTTGAGTTCCAAATAAAAACACATGTATTCTGAGACTTCATTTAAAGGTCAGAGCAAAAGTCGGTGATTTTGTATAGCATGGTGTTTCAAATGTTCTGTTTATAGAAACACTGAATTGGGATGTTTGAAACATTGAGGGTACTTCAAGTTTTTTACACTCAAAATAAAACAGATGAACTGTTCTATAGTTGGAACAAAACAAAGCAAATTGTTTGGATGAAATGTTTAAATTGCTTCAGGTGTGAAAGGTTCAGGTTTCAGATCAAATCTCACCAGGCTCAAGGTTGGCGCAGTGGTTAAATGCAGCACTGCAGACTACTGCTAGATCAGCAGGTCAGCGGTTCAAATCTCACCGGCTCAGGGTTGACTCAGCCTTCCATCCTTCCGAGGTGGGTAAAATGAGGACCCAGATTGNTTAACAGACACCTTCCTAAGCGAGTTGTTGCTTGGTATGAAAATGCAGCAGATGTTGAGCTAAACTTGATTAGACTTCAACGTGCGAAAGAGGACGTCTCTATCAAAAATCTTAGGATGTAAATGGTTATATTTTTTCAAAATCCTGTTATTTGTTTTAGCTAAACAATTAGTTTAGCACTTATCAGGTACATTTAGAGATTTTTAAGTATACCTTCAAACTTCCCACAGGACTTGTATCTCTCTGGAGTCTTAGATATATGGAATTTACCTTTTAAATAAGTCTCTGAAGATAAAAGATGGCTGTCTCTCTTTTTATTAAAATGGTAGAAAAATGTTATACAAAATTACTGAATTAGCAAAATCAAACCACTAATATATTTCTATATCTTGGGTAGAAAAGTATGATTAGTTGTAATCCATTTGAATTAAACAGTAGTCAGAAGTAACTGAGCTTTCCATTTGGGAAAAAGTGGCTTCAGCATTACTTAGATTTAATAAATTCATACCCTCCCTTTATTTTATACAGCTCAAGGTGGCAAACATAACACTCTCTTTTCTGTTTTCCTCTATAACAGCAAACTATAAACAGGGTGGGGTTATGGAAGAATGGTTGGTCAAAGTTGCCCAACTAGCTTTTGTGCCTAACAAAAACTTGAATTCGTCATCTTTTTGTTGCTAGTCCAGCAGTTTAACCAACTACATCAAGCTGGCTTCGACTTCCACTTCTATACATCCTTGTAATGATTAACTTAATAGTTCATGTCTCATGGTTGGAAATATTTATGAGCAGATTACCTGAAATAACAGTCCTTTCTCTCAAAACTATAGAACTTTGGAAAAGGGAAAGTGCATTTTATAGAGAGGTAATGTGATGGTGCAATTATTATGTTAGACTTGAACAAATGCAATAAAATTTCAAATTCTTATTTACCAATGATGGTTATTTGATCACTTTGTGCCAAAAATATTCTACTTCAGAGAATTTGGAGAGGTTAGAATGTGGCAGATAGAGGAGATAGTATTCATTTCTAGCTGTTGCAAGAAGATAGCACAGAATGTGTGGCTTGACAAAACAGCAGCAGTGGTTCATTGGAAGATTTGCAAGAAATACCATTTGTCTGCAAGCAAGAATTGATGGAACCACAACATAGAAAAAAGTCTTAGAAAATAAAGAAGTTTCATTTTCTTCATTTTCATTGCTCTGGGATTTTAGAATTCAACAGATAAGCACCTGCAGACTTAACAATTGTTGGTAAGAAAGACAAAATCATCTATTGTAGATAGTGGACATTGCAGTATTTAGAGACAGCAGAATAGAAGAGAAAGAACTGGAGAAAATCACAGCATAAAATGATTATAGAAAAAGAAAGCAAAATTAGTAACGATAAAGGTTCCCCTCGCACATATGTGCTAGTCATTCCCAACTCTAGGGGGTGTGCTCATCTCCATTTCAAAGCCAAAGAGCNGAGAGAGAGAGAGAGAGAGAGAGAATTTAGATATTCTTGGGAAGAAGTATAAATCTTTATCTCTTTATCTCTGTCTCTCTTTCAATTGCTTGCTAGAGTTAGTGTATTTGTATACCTTGCCACCTTGTGGCTATTTTAGATATTTGCATAAATCTGTATTTACAGTTTCTAATAGTAAATACAACGGACAAGATTTCATTAATGAAATCAGTATCTGGCAAATATTTGAATATCATTTTGTACTTGCACTGATTTTTATTGCACTTATATTTTCTATATTTAGGTAAGAGTATTTTGCATATATACTTTGTAATAGTAAGAAGCAGAGTTATTTGATTCTCTCTCTCTCTCTTTCTCTCTCTCTCTCCCTCCCTCCCTCTCTGTCTCTGTCTCTCTGTCTCTCTGTCTCTGTCTCTCTCTCTCTCTCTCTCTCTCACACACACACACACACAACACACACACACAACACACACACACAACACACACACACACACACACTGGATGCACTGTTGCTATAATAAAACCAGTGGTGGGATTCAAACATTTTTACTACAGG